GAATTTGAAAATGCAACTGTCTCCTGACCTTTCTGCTAAAGGACATGTGCAGATCTCTGATGTTGTGAGAGAGAATGAACACTTAGATTCCTCTTCCTTAGGCAGCAAAAGCATCCAGGAGACCCTTCCAGGCAGAAAGAGTGATGCCTCAGATTCTAGAGTTTTGCCATCAGAAGACCCTAAAGAGTTGAAAATGTTTACTCTTAAGAAACCCTCCAAATCTGACATTGTGAATGCTTTGCCTGCTCCCTTAAAGTTTGCCTCTCCTGCCTATGCACTGCGCTGCACCCCAGACAGAATGCAGCGGGAGGCTGCAGCACGACTAGGGAATCCTGAACTTCCAGCAATGCTTTCTACTCCTAAAAGTCATAAGTTGGCCTCTGCTAGTCCACCAACATATGAGGTTGAACTTGAGATGCAAGCTTCTGGCCTGCCTAAGCTTCGCATTAAGAGGGTTGGCTCTGGCTCAGCCATGGAATTACAGTCACAAATGAAGACTGGCAAACCTAGTGGAGAGCAAAGCCCCTTTAGTGAGCTTGCTGTGGCCTGGTGTGCTAGGCATCCAGGAAAACTAGCAGCTGCCTGTGTTTCACCATCCTGCTTTCGCTCTTCTCATAGTACCCCTGGGAAGGGTGGGGGGCAGACCTACATTTGCCAGTCATACACACCAACTAGCTGTGCCTCTAACACCACTTCCCCATGTCATATGGACACTGGAGTTCCGTGGACACCTTCTCCAAAGCACAAAGGGAAGGTTACCCCAGATGCCATCAAGGACTGGCCACGGAGAAAGAAAGCAGCAAATAGCAATGCCAGTGGTCGAAGTGAGAAGAATGCAGAATGCACAGGGAATGTGTTAGCAAGTCAAGAGGGAGGAACAATATCTGACCACTGCAGCAGCAGCAAAACCCCGTTGCTGGCGGACTTTGAGCTGGAAGGGGTTTACAGGCTTCAGGACCAGTCACCTCCCAGTGACACTGAGCTCCAAATTGATGAGGGTGATTCCACAGGCACTTTCGGCTTGAAATCTAGAAAGCGGGCCTTTGATCGCCTGTCTCCAGAAGAGGAATCTAAATGGGAGGCTAAGAGATCTTGTACAAATAGAGACTACCTGGATCTGGTCAGTTCTTCCACAGATGAGAACAGCACAATCAAAAGGAGGATATCCACAATGCCTCCTAGTAGAACCACAGTGTCTTCAAATAGAACTCCTGGGCAACTGAGTTTCATAGGCGATGATGATGTCTTCACTGTTTCAGGTAATCAATTGTCAGGTTTGTCCCCCTACTGAAATTCAGAGATGCTGAATTGGGAGGAGCTGTCAGAATAGAATACAAAGGGCATTAGAAATACAGGGAGGAAACTATGTGAGATGCAGCTGGAACCTTGCAGCTAATATCTCAGATGAAATTTGAAAGGCAGATCCATTGGAGTGAGATGGAAGGTGAGAATAGATAGCAAATTACATATGAGTCATAATGCCATATTGCTGTGCTGATAGGGGTGTATATGCAGAGTCATGTCGTGGACTGGGTAGATAGCTCTACAGCATCAGAATATTTGCTGCTGTTGTGGGAAACTCATTAACAGAAAATTGACAAATTGGAGAGAGATCAGGGAAAGGGATATACTGACTGGCAGCTGGAGGCACTTATTTTAGCCCTTTATTCCTTCCTGTAATGATTGTGAAGTCTACTAAAAGCCATGATATAGAAGAGTTGTCATTTAGGAGAAATAGAATAGAGTGGAATGTAAGTTGCACATGACTGGGAAATCTCCCTGATATACATATGAGGCTGGGGTGTAATAGTCTCTGCCTTAGAACATTTTAAATTAAACTGAGTAATAGACACCTGGAAGAATACTGCATTGGTCCATGGCATGTGGAGTACGATTTTGCGCTTCTCACCTCTTGGCTTGCCTGCTCTGGTACCAACAGTTATTTCTTTTTCTGCATTATACGTTTCACTTTTTAAACTCATTTTAAGAAGTTTTTTTTCTGAAGTAGACTCATGCAAGAGTGTATTGTACATGAAGTCACCACAACTCTGTGCAGCTGGCTGTACAGACATCTGGCCCTTAGCACTTGCAGTTTCTTATTTGTAGATGTAATCATGGCAACTGCACACTCAAATTTAGACGTACAATTATATACACACATGTACTTGCTCTTACCAACGGTAATGCCAAGTCAGCAGCAGACATGGAAATTACAATTAATTTTACTACTAAAGGAATTGGCAGTCATACTATTGAAAGCAAGGCTCCATGGATTTCATGTCTTTGAAATCCATCCCTTCTACAATTTAAGATGGTGTTTTAAGAATTTGTTTCTATTCATGATTTCAAAGAGTCCCTTAATTGTCATTCTAATGTAATTGTTGCAGTGTTTGCTGAATCTGCAGGCAGCCTGAAACAATAAGCACTAAAAGTTAGTGACAATTCTTCCTGGATATTCTATTAACTTGAACCTAGTTGTATGCCTAAGGCAATGATGGGCAAACAGGAATCATGAGTAGGTTGCATTAGTGGCCTTCCTTCACCTCAGTGGGCCACAGCAGCACATGGCCCACTAGGGTTCCACCTGCAGCCCCTCATTTGCTGGTCCTCCCCCATGTGCCTCTCGTGCACTGGGGCACCAGAGCCCCACAGTTATCTGCTCCTCTACCTCCCTCCCAGAACTAAGGATGTTAAATTTCAGTTAATTCACTAGTCGATGGCACTTCCACATTCCTCCTTTGAAATGTACAAGAGCCCCCGCTGGGGCTTGCGTACATTTCAAAGGAAGAATGTGGAACTGTGTGTGCAGCAAGTCCCACTAACTCTGGGCTGCATGCGGGTGTGCCAGCTTTGAAATGTACTCAGAGTCCCCTGCTGACCCCAGGCTTTATGCTGCGCTGCCACTTTGAAATGCCATGCAGAGCCCAGGATCAGCTGGGGACTCAGCTGTGCAGCGCTGCTCCTTTGAAACACTGCCCCGGTGTTTCAAAGCGGTAGTGCCACATGGAGCCCGGCTTCAGGCTCCTTGTGGCACTGCCACTTCGAAGTGTTCTTTCCCGTCCCTTTGCTGCCTCTGATAGAAGCAGTGGGGGGCAGGGGTGGGAGGGAAATCAACTAGTTGACTGGACAATCTGATAAGCATTTGCTTATCGGATAGTTGACAAGTCCTTAACATCCTTACCCAAACCTTAAAGTGCCTGATTCACGCTCCATTCCCGCTCCTCTCTCTCCCTCCCAGAGCTGGAAGAGCTGTGAACAGCTGGTTGTGCCTCAGGTTGCCCACCATTGGCGCAAGGGAAAAGGGAAGTGTTGCATACTCCTTCACATAAGAAAAGAACCAGGGGTCACCCCATGAAATGAATAGAAAGCAATTTTAAAGCAAACATAAGGAAGCACCTTTTTCTATACAATGCACAGATTTCCTATTGAACTCGTTGGCAGGGTTGTTCTGAATGTCCCAAAACCTTTATCAGAAGCTGGGATTGAATGATGGTATTGACTACTTGATAATTATCCTGTTCTGTTCCTCTGAAGCATCTGGCATTAACCTGTCAAAAGACAAGATACTAGGTTAGATGGACTATTGGTCTGGCCCATTATGACTCTCATATTCTCTGATCACCTTTGTAATATTATTCACAAGCATATTCCAAATCATCTCCTCCTTCCTAGACTTCTCATTTTTCCGACAACCTCAGAACAGCAGTTGTTGAAGAGACAGGACAGATTAAAAGCTGACTCTTGACTTACCTGAACATTTCCACTGTGCCACATCCATGTGCTGTTGTAACCAGGGGCCTTGGTTGCTTCCCAGAGGGCAGGACTTGGTGGGAATGCTGCAGTTTCATGTCTCATTGTGCTTCTCCAGGTTCAACTCCGCCAGTGAAGGGCTCCCTCTCTGCAAGTGGTCTTCGAGCGCTGACCCAGTCTCCGCTGCTCTACCAGGGACAAACACCATCCCGGAAGAAGTGTGCCAAAGGTAACCACTTGTCATTTCATAAACCCTTGCACTCACACAGACTATACACTTGCAATGTGCTCTGCAATTAAGTTGGGTAGAAAGAGCACAGCCTGTGTACCAGAAAGGAGGTAGGGAACTTGCTGTTTTTACCCAGGAAAGGGGTGTGGCGGATTTGCTGCATCTGTGCCTAACAATCTGCTGCCAAGGAGTTTGGCCTTGGAACACTGAAGCAAAACAGCTATGTTTTCGTGAGAGGTAGGGAAGTAGCTCGGGGCTAAAATGATTTAAAGGAGAATGGGGTTTATTGATAGTGGATTTCCTGAGGCAGTTGCTGTACTGTAAACCTGAAAGTGTAGATTTTCACTAACCCTTTCCGCCCTTTACAGAAGATGAGTCGGACATTTTTCTCAGCACTACAGACCAAGCAGCATCTCCGTTCCTCCACGCGGGCTCTGGGAGGAGGCCCCTTAGCAGGACTTACTCACGGAAGAAACTACTCAGCTGAACTCTGCAGCCAGAGCAAAAGAGCACTTTAATAATGAGACACAAGCGATCTCGCTCACCAGGGAGTACTTGCTGCTGTCCCTGAGTGCGAGCTTGGCTTTCTTGAACTCATGGGTGGTTCATTGCTATTGGGACTTGTCACTGGAGTCAGTGTGTGGAAATCTTCATCCCCACAGCTATGAGGTTTAATGAGGAATCCGTGTTTGAATCAGCCCTGTAAACACCTCTTTCCATAGAGCCAGGAAAGATGCTCACTAGTAAGTTTTTTAATTTGGTAAGAATGAGTCTCTCTCTTTTAATCCTGGTTCTGTCTGATGGGTGTTTCCCTTTCTGGGTTTGAGAGTCACAGATTCAGTCTGACTATGTGGAGAGACTGGTCACCTTTTTAGCATTCTTTTGTAAATAAACGAATCTGAAGTGCTACTTTGTGCTGTGTGAAGTGCCCTACTGTAACTGAGAGGTTCCATGATTGTATTAAATGAGCATAGGAGGCCGTGTGACACATTTAATAAAACTCACTGATTTATTAGTAAGTAACAGCAGAAACGTAAAAAAGTTACTACAAAGATATTTACAATTCCCCTAGAGCACTTAATACAGCTCCCCCTGCACTAACACAGGAGGAGACCAGCAGGATAAGCTCCTCTAGGGAGCAGGCAGGTTCCAGAACAGTAACAAAAATCTATAGTGTGAGAGGGCCTGACCAGAGCTGTCCCCCTCACTCTGCCTTGGGAAGCTGCAATGGATGAGGGCCAGGAAGACTACCCAGCCAATACTACGGTGCAAGGAAGTGACACTGCATCCAATCAGCTGCCTTTTTAGCAACTTGTCCTTGGAGTGAAAATATCTGAACTCCCACCCCAGTCCTCAATGAAATGCAGCATGTTTTGTGGGCACCAGGAAAGGTATTTACTGACTACATGTAGTAGCGATTGCCCCTTGCAGTGCTGTGCATGGTTAATGTTCAAAGCTTGGCTCTAGACTGGGTTTCTCCTGACATCAATCATTCCTGGATGGGAAAGCACTGGAGCAACACTGAGGCTGGCTCTACGCAACTCCTTGCCAGGTTTGGGCAGAGGAGTCAGGTTCCATGACAGGGCTCCCTCGTGGGGCTGCCCCAGTCTCAGCAGGTACTCTGCCTCTCTCTGTTGAATCCCCTCTGAGCCCAAGGGGTTGTCAGTGGGCAGGGAAGAGCGCCTCCATGTGGATGGTAAAGGTGCATACACCAAGTCCCTATTTTCATCCCTGCACTTATGGCTTCCTTCAGGGACAGCCAGCTGCATCTGCTGTTCCACAAAACCAGTGCCCAATTCTTCACAGGTCCCAAGTACTGCAGAAGGTCTGTCCCCAGCTCCAAGTATGCTTCTCTCCACCCCTGCTGGAGAAGACAGGTTGTTAGTGATGTGGTTCTCAGGATAGGTGCTGCTGATCCTTATATGAGAGGAAACTCAAGTGTGTCAGTTACAACAAGAGATGGCTGAAGGGCACCATCCCCTCTACTGAAAGAGTGAGCACGGATCATAATCCAAAGGCAACTGTCCCTGCAAAGGCTCTGTCTGCACTTCAGACTTTTGCTGCTACAGAAATGGGGAACTTCTGCCAGGTCATATGCAGGCAAATGAAAGTATGCCAGGGTAAAACGCAAGCTGCACTTCTGAACCTAGGGAGCTGGGGTTTCCTCACCTTTACTCTGTCCTGGGTAGCTCAGATTACTCAGCCTCTGGTTCAGCACCTGGTTTGCCCACATGTAGCGGCTCAGTTCTTTTTCCAGCACTTGAATTCTTCCCTCAAACTGTAGCTTGCTGCTGGCCAGCTCCTCACCCAAGTGCTCTACAAGGAGAACGAGCATTATTACAGCTATGGGGTTTGGAAACCATGCTGTAGTTGCCCAGCAAAGCAGAGGAGCAACAGTTAGTAGGGTTCAAAAAGCTCTATCATGGAAGTGTTAACTAAGGTAGCGGGTATGACTTGAGGGAAGACGAGAAGGGTCCATTTCCACAGACACAGGGAGATGGAGGCGTTACCTTGGCTTTGCTTGAGCAGGAACTGGATGTTCTGCTCGTGCTCCGTCTGTTGCAGGGTGAGCTGGCGGTCCATCTCCAGGCGCTGGCGCTCCACAGCTACCTCCAGCCAGTACACCAGCTGCTGTTGCTCTTCCAGCTGCATTTCTAGCTCCGAGAAACTAATGTGCTGCCTGTGCTGATCCTCTCGCAGGGTCACCACCTGTCCAGGGCTCAAGAAGATGCCCCATGAGCTTCACTCTTCCCCACTGATCAAGTTAGGCTCCTTCTAAGGAGCAAGAAGGGCTTGAGCTTCAATAGAGCCCAGCAATTCCAAAGACCGCAGCTGCTTCAATGCTGCAACAGGGCCACCAGGGGGAGCCAGGCAGCATGAGAGTAATGTCAGGTGGACAGCTAGAGCAGAGCGCAGCTAGGGTGTGTGAACCACTGGGGGCTTGTGTGTCAGAAGGGTACATCTAGACTGCAGAGTTTTTCTGGGAAACCTTTTTCAGAAGAGCAGACGCGTTTTTTCAGCATCTCTGTAAACCTCATTTTACGAGGAAGAAGGGATGTTCTAAAAAGGGTTTTTCTCGACATTTGGCCCAGTGTAGACAGGCCAAATGTCAGAAAAGCCTCTTCCAGAAAAAGCTATGCAAATTGTGGTTCACAATTTACTTCTCTTTTCCCAGAAGAACTGTGTAGTCTAGACCCAGCCATGGAAGCCAGGCTGCAGAAGGGATAAATGGGGGCTGCTCCCTCACAGTGGAAAGCTAGCAAAGCACCAGGACTCCTGGATAAAGGTAGAGCAGGAGGGAAGTGCCATCTGATTAGACCCTATGGTTCTGAGCTGAGCGGAGGGCTCAGGCAGGGCCCCTACCTTATCAAAGTACTTGCAGAGAAGAGCGCGGGTCTCAGAGGAGGAGAGGTAGCTGAGCTTCGCCATTAGGTTCATCTCACACTGGGACAGCAAGCTGGCTGACTCCCGCAGGACCCGCTGTCTGCATGTGATCGACTCATTCTTGTACTCAATTGCAGCATCCAGAGCCTCCCTCTTCCTACCGCACGGGGGAGAGGAAGGGAGCTGCACTTACGCCTGGGTTAGAGGGAGGGGGAACAGGAACCAGACGAAAGTAGCCAGGCAGGTGATCTGCTACACGCTTGAGCCCCCTCTTACTCCACTTGTCTCCACAGAGCTTTGGCGGTGCACCTTCCGAGACATAGGTCTCCCTCCGTGCATATGCCCAGCCTCAGCCCTCTTCCCAGGCTGACAACTGTGCTACGTTTGGAATGACAGATGTGAAAAATCAGGCACGATAGGTCTTCTCTCACGTGAGCCACACAGCTCTGAGGCTAGGCATGAAAGGCTGCACCCAGCTCTGAGACACTCTCTCATGATCTACATGGACTGTGGGGGGGACCTAACAGGCAGCTGGTTACCTCTGGGGATAGCAGGGTGCCCTGGCGCAGCTTGTTGTCTATCTCCAGCCTTTGTTTGAGCAGCTGGTCCTTCTCCTGGCGCAAGCTGTTGATCTCCTGCCGGATCTGCTGCTGGTCGTGAGCGCTGCCATGACGGAGCTGCCCGTTTTTCTCCGTCAGCTCCTTTTCCAGGAGCTCCAGGCGGCTGGACACCCGCACAATGTCATCAGTCAAGGCCTGGAGCAGCAGGAGGAATAAGACCGCAATTAAACCAAACTGCCCCCCATGCCACAGTGAGGAGATTCCTAGGCAGGAGGCCGCTATGGCCAGCAGAAGCAACACAGGGTGGGCACTATTCCCTATGCCAACCTGCTGATGCTGCCTCCAGACCACAATCCTGACCTTAGATCCCATCCCCATCCCTGCCAAGACACCTCGCTCTGGCAAGCTTAGGGCAAGCCGTCTCCCTCTTCCCACTTGCCAGCAGATGAGCGAGAGATCTCCACAGCTCGGTAGCCCACCTGGCTGGAGCGGCGTCTCTTGGACTCCAGGCCGTTCTTCTCTTGGATTCCCGTTTCCTCAGCTCGTCCTCCAGCTCGTCCAGGGCACGGCGCTGCTCAAGGACTTTGTCCATTTCCAGGTCCAGCCACTTCTTCTGCTCCTCGATTTTCTGATGGAAAGAGAGGGAGGGGATGAGGGGAAGGATGTGGTCACCAATAGGAGGGAGGTTAGGTCAGGGAGGCGAAGGCCTCTACCAGCTACTTCTCTGGTTTCATTGCTGGAGATCTGACTGCTTCACCCCTTAATAGATTTATCATAGAATCCTAGGGTTGGAAGAGACCTCGGGGTTATCGAGTCCAGCCCCCTGCTCAAAGCAGGACCTACTCCAACTAAATCAACCCAGCCAGGGCTTAAAAACCTCTAGGGAGAGAAATTCCACCACCTCCCGAGGTACCCCATTCCAGTGCTTCACCACCCTCCTAGGGAAATAGTTTTTCCTAATTTCCAGCCTAGACCCCCCCCCTCCCCACTGCAAGTTGAGACCATTGCTCCTTGTTCTGCCATCTGTCACTACTGAGAGCAGTATCTTTCCATCTTCTTTGCAAACCCCCTTCACGTAGTTGAAGGCTGCTATCAAATCCTCCCCCCTTGCTCTTCTCTTCTGTAGTCTAAATAAACCCAAATCCCTCAGCTCCTCCTTGTAAGTCATGTGCCCCAGTCCTCTAATCATTTTCATTGCCCTCCGCTGGACCCTCTCCAATGCGTCCACATCCTTTGCGTAATGGGGGCCCCAGAATTGGATGCAATACTCCAGTTGTGGCCTCACCAGTGCCAAATAGAAAGGAATAACAACTTCCCTAGGTCTGCTGGCAATGCTCCTCCTAATACACCTTAATATGCCGTTAGCCTTCTTGGCCCTACCAGTCAGGGCATGGAGACCGAACACCTTTGCTGACCTTACCAATCTGGTGCAGGATTCCCTAAGGCCCACCCCATTTGCAGAGGGGGTCACTGCTATGTACCTGCTGCTGCTCCAGGCTGAGCACAGAGCCATTGCTGCCACTCCTCTGTTTCCTCTGGAAAGCTGCAATCTCCTCCGTCTTGATGCGCAGGATCTTCTGATGCTTCTCATGCTTCAGCTCCAGCTCCTGCACGAGGGGGAGCAGCTGTTAGTTTGGGGGTGAAGTGGGGGGAGAACAGGTTGATCCAGTGCCCCGGAGCTCAGACTGGAGCCCTCCCAGCCTCCAGCTCAACTCACTGGGCTAAGCGGTTACTCCAGAAAATGCAGTACAGGCTTCCCTCCTCGTCCTGCTGCTGCTGAGGACACAGGGCCACACACCGGAGCTACCCTCTGCCCTTGGCTGGCACACAGGGCTCTAGCTCTGACCTTGACGCGATGCTGCCGCTTGTGCATCTCCGTCTCCAGGCGGCGTTTCTGCTCAGTCTCCTCGCGCAGGCGTCTCTGCAGCTGCCCCTGCTGCCGCAGCAGCAGCTGGACATTTCTTTCCTGCTCAGTCTCCTCGCGCAGGCGTCTCTGCAGCTGCCCCTGCTGCCGCCGCATCAGCTGGACATTTCTTTCCAGCTCCTGCACCCGCTTCTCACTCTGGGCCGAGAGCGACACCAACCTCTCCGTCACTTGCTTCTTCTCTCGCAGCACCTGCCATATGAGGGCTGCCCTTAGGCTGAGGGCCAAGAAACCGCATACCACCCTGCCCTTCAGAGAACCCACACCAGCTGTTAGACAGCCAGTCCCCAGCCCGGCTCTTTAACTGCCCCTCAACCTGCAAGAGCTTCCTCTCCCCCCAGCTGGGGCAGACGGGAGAACCCCAGGCTCACACTGACCCGTGCCTTGCCCTGGGCTGCTGCAACCCGCGTGCGATACTCCTGCAGTTTGCATTTCTCTCCAGTGTCCCGGGGCTCCTTCCCCTCCAGTTCCTGCAGCTGCTTCTGGCCACTGCTCAGCTCTGCTCGCACCTGCTCCGCCTCCTGCTCCAGCTCAAAGATCTTCTGGCAGTACTGTCTGTTCATGGCTTGGGCATCCTTGCCTGAAACCAGCAGGGAATCCAAGCCATCACCAACTGCCTTGCCCCCCACCCTACCTCCTTCCAGGTGGCTTATCCGGGAGGACAGCAATGACAAGGGCCTGTATGGCATCCGCTAGCCTATCAGGAGCAGTTTGGCACCAGGACACTGGGCAGTGCTAGACCAGCCTCTCCAGGGCATGAACTGGTGCTGTCTGGCTCTTGGCTCATCTTGCTGGAAGCCCCTCTGCACCATCCCACATCCACGACCCGCCCAGCTGGTCTGATCGCCAGCAATCCCTGCTCTAGCTTTGGTAACAGCCGGTTGGTGGGGAGAGCTAGTTCCTGAGATTCCTCCCCCTCCTCCCGTGAGCCACTCAGTATCCTTGCTGCCTTCAGCTCCTCCGGTGTGACCCTGGGGAAGCCAAGGGGAAGGATCTCAGCCAGCAGCTGGTGTCACAGCACTCGCTGGGCTCTGCCTGCTGGGAGAACGGATGCAGGGGGGGAGGGATGACTGGGGGGTGACTGTCTTATACTGCATGCATGGTATTTCCTGAGACCAGGCAAGCAGCTGGGCATGTGGCCCAATTCCTTTGCTAGCAGATCCAGGGAGTGGGGCCATGCTCATGGTAACAAGCATGGCAAAGGGCACTCAGCTCCCTGTGAGTCTGGCCTACTAGGGACAGGTGCACAGGGAGGGAGGCTGAGCTGGGGGAATGGAGGGCACAGCGTCCCACCAGGAGAGAAGACAAGCAGAGATCCAGCACCTCCTGCCACAGGCGTGAGCCCCGAGAGCTCCAAGGCCTGCCTGGCAGGAACATTACCCCACCAGCAGCTCTGCACCTGTCTTGATGAGCTCCGCGATCAGCTCCTCCTTCATACGAATGTTTATTGCAAGCTCCCGGATCTTCTGCTGGGCTTGCACCAGCCGCCGCTCTGAGTCCTTCCCTGAAAGGCTTTCCCTGGGACCAGCCAGCCCCCTCCTCCTGCAGGCCTCTGCAACACAGAGAGCCAGTCTCTTCGGGACCTCGCCCAGGAAGCTGCTGTCCCCACAGCAAAGTGCAGAGGGGACAAGCCCTGGTGGAAAGCCCTGGTTGCCGTCTTCTTTAGCACAGTGCTACAGCCCTCAGAGACTGCAGATCCCAGCATGAGATGCTTCCTCTTGAGCAAAGCATCCATTCCGCACTAGCAGCAGCAGCCCTCAGGATCTGGCCTAGGCTGGGCAGTCTGGATGCTCCTGCACTTTTCTCTTCCAGAGCAGAGCACGTGGCCAGCTCCTCATTGCTACCAACCGCAGCTGAGGGCATCACCAGCCTCCCCCCAGGACCCAGTCTCCACTTACCTTTGGGCAGCTCCAGGGACTCCTCCTGGATGGGCAGTGAGCTGCCTCTGCTCCCCTCCTCACACAGCTTGCTGGAAACGTCTTGGCACAAGCTTCGGATCCCGTTTCTAGAACAGCAGCCAATCAGTTTAGCTACAGCTGAGGGAAGAGAGAACCCGCGCCAAGCCGGCCAGCTGGCACTAGCCCAACAGAGAGGGACGAGGATGCCCGTGGCCTATCAGGCAAGGCAGCGGGACCGGGACTGACACAGCCGACTCAATCCACTTCCCTGCAGACAGATGCCCACGGCCCCCACGCCAGCAGTTGGCAGCCTCAGCAGAGACGCCAAGGGCTGAACGGCCCCGGAGATGGAGCTCAGCTCTCCGCTCTAAAACCAACTCCTGCAAATCAGGGCAGAGATACAGCAGGACGACACCTGAACTGCCACTGCCTGTGCTGTGCAGGGTGGGCTCAAGCTCCGGGGCCATCAGGCCAGCACCAGCCTCACTGAGCAGTTAGACGCTAACCTGCACTCGGCCATTACAAACACGCTCACTTTGCCTGACTTCCGGTTTGGCTGCTCTAGTTCTACAAGGGCCTCTTGTGCTTAGGGGAGACACGGCACTGCCTGGCTGAGGGCACAGAGATGGCTCATTTAGAGCTGGCCCAGTTCCTGCAGGCCACCCTGGCTGGCACGTGGACACGTCCTTAATCAGGGGAAGCAGGCACGGTGTTTGCTGAGTGACCCTGGCTGATGCTCCCACCCGCACAACCTCCACTCACCTCCGCTTGTGCAACGCCTGTTTTGTCTCCCCCTCTTCCTCGGAGTCCTCGCTGCACTCCCTCATCAGCAGCACATCTCTGGCCTCCCGTCTGCAGGCCACGCCCTGTGCATGGGTATGGCAAGGCATGGCCGGGTCCTCCCCCAGCTGGGCTGGGCTGTTGAGCTGCTCGGGGCAGAGGGGGCAGTCACACATGGAAAGACGGGCACTTCACGGGGAACAGAGCTCAGCAGGGGCCACTGAGCTATACAGAGGGGAGACCGTGTGGAGCTCAGTGGCGTTGTGAGCAGAGCTGATGAGTTCCTGGACCCAGCCGGCTGCTCCAGCGATGTGGCACAAAAGGCTTTACCTGCAGCCTGGGCTCGGGATGCCATCTGTAAGTACTCAGACTTGGCTGAAAGCAGTTTTTCCCCAAACTGAGGCAAAGTCTCACATCAGGGAGCACGACACCCAAGCCTACGGCTGAGTTTCAAGCCTGGGCCCATTTTGCTGGAGGCCGGTCTCCCTCCCAAACTCCACCATGGCTCAAGGGACTTTGTTCAAACCCACTGACAGGATTAGAGACCCAGTGTAGGAAAGGCCAGTGCCTGCGGTCAGGGCATCCAGAAGAGAGAACAGCACTTTTCCAAGAGCAAGCACCCGTGGCAATGACGTCCACCTCACCCACCTTTCCACAATGGCTCTGGCTGGTGAGGGACGGCCTTGACTGCCCCATGCTGAGGTCATGGGACTGTGCAGTATTCGGCGGGGCTGTGTGAGGTCTCTGGGCAAGCTCCACCAGGTGAACATTTTGCAGCAGCTCCGGCACCGGCAGGTTTGGCACGGCCATCTCCAAGCGCACGTGTAGCTCAGAGATGGCATCCTGCTGCTCCTGCAGCTTGTCGCTCTGAAAGACGAGGGAAGACGCGGTTTCCCACGTACATGCTGCTAGCACAGTAGCAAATGGGACATACTGCACTTTCCCTGATTGCCCACCCCCGCTGTCTAATCCATCCAGAAAAGGGAGGGCAGATTAACAGCAGAAACAAGTGTGGCAGGCAACTGGCTGGGTTTGGGGAGCATGTGGAAGGCACTAAAAACCCAAAAGGAAAACCCCACCCCATAATGGAGAATCTACAGCATAGGCCAGGCTGGGCCAAATGGCATTTGAAATTAAAGGTCCCCTAGACGGGCCCATTCTCTGTGAGGCAATGAAGACTGAAAAGGGAGAAAGGGATCCTAAAGACTCCAGAGGTGCAGGGAGGGACTGCCCACCGGACAGAGAGGTACAGGCTGCGGGCACTGAAAGGCAGCAGGAACTGGAGAGGAGAGAGGCAGCAGTACCTGCAGTTTGTACTGCTCCATGGCATCTTCCAGGGCAGCCAGGAAGTCCCGGTTCTCCTCCTCCAGACGCTCCACTTGTCTCTGCAGCTGGGCCAGCTGTTCATCTCTGGTTTCCTCACCTGCCTTCTCTGCACTCACCTGCCCCCAGGGAAGAGAAGAGAAACAGCATCAGTAATAGGGATGTAAGCGACTAGCCATCTTAAAAGTTGGTTCCCCCCAGCACCCTCTCTGCAGGAGGGGGAGCAGGGGAGGCAAAGGCGCAGCAGGGGAGTGGGCGCAGGCTGGGACTCAGCTGTCTCAGTTCGCACCCGATCCCAGATGCTGCACTTCTGCTTTTTAAATGTAGAAATTGCTGCAAAGCTCTTACTACATTTAAAAGGCAAAGGCGCAGCAGGGGACTGGGTCCAAGCCGGGAATCAGCTGTCCCAGCTCACATGTATTCCTGTGCTTCTGCTTTTGAAATGGAGCAAGAGATGCGGGCGTCAGTCACCACTTGCACCAGGTTCCCCGCTGCACCTCTGCCTCCCCTGTCCAGGTTCCCTGCTGTGTGTCTGCTTTTGAAATGTAGCAAGAGCCGCCCGCCTGATGGAAATTTCATTGACTGCTCAATTAGCTGATTCATCGATATGTAACATCCCTAATCAGTAACCCCCAAAACTTCACTGTGCCATTGTGCTCCTCCCCACCCAATATGCAACACAAACAGGTATATCTACTGTATGGTCTGCCACTCACCCCACACCCTGAATGCACACAGCCGTGGCCGCAGCGTGCAGAGCTGCTACTCTGGGAACATTCAGTGTCTCTCAGACAGCAGATACACATAAGAGTGGCCACATGGGGGGAGGGGTCAGACCAGAGGTACAATCTAGCCCAATATACTGTCTTCCAACAGTGTCCAATGCCAAGTGCCCCAGAGGGAATGACCAGAACAGGGAATCATTAAGTGATCCCTCCCCTGTTACCCATTCCCAGCTTCTCGAAAACAGGCTAGGGACACCAACCCTGTCCACACTGGCAAACCTACCCTCCATGAATTTATCTAATTCTTTTTTTAACCCAGTTAAAGTCTTGACATTTCACAACATCCTCTGGCAAGGAGTTCCACAGGTTGACTGTGCACTGTGTGAAGAAATATTTCTTTTTGTTTGTTGTTTCAAATCTGCTGCTCATTGGGTGACCACTAGTCCTGGTGTTATGAGGAGTAAACAACTCTTCCTTATATATTTTCTCCACAGCAGTTATGATTGTATAGACCTCTATCATATTCCTCCTTAGTTGTCTCTTTTCCCAAGCTGAAAAGTCCCAATCTTATTAATCTCTCCTCATACGGAAGCTGTCCTATGCCCCATATCATTTTTGTTGCCCTTTTCTCAAACTTCTCCAAGTCCAATGTATCTTTTTGGAGATGGGCAACCACATCTACTTGCATACAGTATTCAAGATGTAGGGCATACCATGGATTTCGAATTCATATAGAGGCTATATGATATTTTCTGTCTTATTATCTACCCCTTTCTTAATGATTCCCAACATTCTGTTTGCTTTTTTAACTGTTGCTGCACATTGCATGGATGTTTTCAAAGAGCTAACCACAATTACTTCAAGCTCTCTTAAGTGGTAATAACAATGTTATTTTATATGTAAAGTTGGAATTATGTTTTCCTATGTGCATTACCTTGCATTTATTAACACTGAATTTCATCTGATATTTTGTTACTCAGTCACCCAGTTTTGAGAGATCCCTTTATGGCTTTTCAGTCTATTTTGGAATTAACTATCTTGAGTAGCTCTGTAACATCTGCAGTTTTTTTCCACCTCACTGTTCATCTGTTTTTCCAAATCATGTATGAACATGTTGAACAGTACTGACCCAAGGGACATCACTATTTACCCTTCCCCATTCTGAAAACTATCCATTTATTCCTACCCTTCGTTTCTCATCTTTTAACCAGTTACCAATCCAGGAGAGGACCTTCTGTCTCATCCCATGACAGCTTACTTTGCTTAAGAGTCTTTAGAGAGGAACCTTGTCAAAGGCCTTCTGGAAATCTAAGTATGCTGTATCCCCTGGATCCGCCTTGTCCACATGCTCATTGACCCCTCAAAGAATGCAACTAGATACATGAGGCATGATTTCCCTTTACAAAAACCATGTTGACCCTTCACCAACAAATTATGTTCATCTATGTATCTGACAATTCTGTTCTGTACTACAGCTTCAACCATTTTGTCCACTCTTGAAATCAGGCTTACTGGCTTATATCTGCCAGGATCACGCCTGGGGCCTTTTTTAAAAACTGGCATCACATTAGCTATCCTCCCGTGTCACTGGTACAGAAGCAGATTTAAATAAACCATAATTAATAAGTTCTGGAATTCACGTTTGAGTTCCTTCACCACTCTTGGTGAATATCATCTCATTCTGGTGACTCATTACTGTTTAATTTAACAATTTGTTCCAAAACGTCCCCTAACGGCACCTCAATCTGGGAAAATTCCTCAGATGTGTCACCTAAAAAGAACGGCTCAGGTCTCTCTCTCATCCTCAGCCATGAAGACCGAAGCAAAGAATTCACTTTGTTTCTCTGCAATGGCCTTATCGTCCTTGGGTGCTTCTTTAGCATCTTGATCATCCAGTGCTCCACCGTGCATTTAGCAGGATTCCTGCTTCCAAAGTACTTTCTTGGGTTCTCGTCCTATGTTTTTTAATTTGGGGGATACTTTAAGTTGAGCCTCTTTTATGGTTTCTTTGAAAAGTTTCCACCCAGCTTGCAGGGATTTCACTTTTGGCCCTGTACCTTTTCATTTCTGTTTAACTAGCTGCCTCATTTGTACGTAGTCCTTCTCCTTCCTGTGTGACTGGGGGGAAAGGCCGGAGAGGAGAGACGTTATTTATACCGTTATTAAGTCAGGCTGTCGTGGGGCGCCAGCTGCACTGGGGATGCTGCTGGAAGGAAGGGTTGCAGTGCTAGTCATTTTGTCTGCAGAATACGCTCGATGGGGCTCCCCATCCCACACCACCTCCCGCCCCTCACTCACTGAAGTAACTTCTCTAGCTTGATGGCCAGGAGTACGTACATTCCAGACTGCACTTGGAACTAGCTCGATTTCATGTTTCTAAGAATCCCACTGGTAGCCAGCCACCTTTCTGCCTCGCTACTATCTCTGCAAGCAGGATCCCGGCTTCTCCCTCACTCCCCGGCCACACTCTGGGGCTGACTTACTGTGTGGATGCTGCTTTCCACCCCAACAGCAGCTGCCTTGCCGTGGGGAGCAGGCAGGCAGGAGGGGTTGGGAGGCTTTCCTAGTCAATGTCCGAGACACACTTTGTCCTCCATGGAGAACAGGGATTGCTGAGTTACTCAGAGGGAACTAGTGCAAGCTAACAGGGCTGGGAGTCAGCTGTCAAGTGGGGCCAGGGCCTCAGAGCCCTCAGCCTTGGCTTTCTCTTGCTGTCCCATACCGTTTACCTGTGGCCTGACCCAGCCCACGTTCCTGTTGTAGCTAAGCGCCTCTCCATCACTACTGCATTTACCCCCCCAGGAAGGATGTTAAGTATCGAGTAAATGACTAATCGTGTATTTGATACAAATTGTATCGAGGACACTATTAGTCAATAAGGGACCACTGCGGCTCTGCAGTTTAAATGTAGTAGGAGCCGGGCGTGCAGGCAGCAGGAGTGAGTAGGTCCGGGACCAGGCGCAAGCCAGGACTGCTTCAGTCACGGCTCACGCTGGGTCCCGCATTGTGCCTCTGCCTTTTAATTGTAGTAAGAGCTGGGTGGCTCTTACTCCACTGTGCCTTTGCCTCCCCTTCCCCCCACCCACGCCACAGAGACAGTGCTGGAGGGAATCGGCTTTTAAGCTGGTTCCCCCCCAGCACCAGCTCCTGCCTCCCCCCCCCACCCCTCACCCTGACATAGAGGCAGCAAGGGGGGAATGTGAGTAGTTGATTCGACTACTCTTTTACGTCCCTACCCCCAGTGCTCTGAGGCAGCGCAGTGCTGATGTCCTAATTGTACAGGTGCACAGGCCAGGGAAGCCTGTTGAAGAGCTGGGAACTGAACCTAGATGTCCCGGGCTAGCTCTAACCATGGGCCATCCTTCCTCTCTCAAAGGGAGTACTCTTTTCTATCCCTAGGAGGCTGGACCCACCCACCGAGGGGCTCTGAGGAGGGCCTAATACAGAGACAGCTTTGTCTCATTCTCTTCTTTCCGCTCTGCCCATACAGCTGCTCTTCCTCCTCAGCACTCTGCTCTATCACCATCACCCCCTGGATACTGCACTGACCCTTCGCACTGCCCAAACCGCAACACTGACCCCCCCAATACCTGAGACCGTGAGGGCTTTGAGCCTTGCGCCTGGGGACACTGATCCTCTGCTGAGGCGCTCTCAATGCCACTGTCCTGGCCAGAGGCCGAGGTCAGCTCGCTCCTCCCGCTCTCCACCGCGCACAGCCACTCCTTGACCCGCAGGATCTGCTCCACGGTCAGGTTGCCCTCCCTCTGCAGCTCCGTCAGGAGCTGGTAGGCGGCATCCGTGCACGTCCTGTAGTGAGCGCACTCTGCCAGCAAGCGGGCCGTGTGCTCTGGCGGGCACCGCTTGGCAGCATCGGAGCGGTTTATGATACGGGTCTCCGAACGGTGCCGCTGCTCCAGCGCCTTCTGCAGGCTCTTGATTTGAAGCTGCAGCTCCTCTACATGCTCCGTCTCCCGGCGGCAGTTCACCACGGCCCTGTTCTTAATGTTCTGAGCGCGGCTGGCATAATTCAGCGTGTTGAGACTCTCGTCAAAATCAGAGGAGGAAGGGCTGACGCAGGCAATCATGACAGTCTGGGCATTGCCCCCCAGGGAGTCTTTCAGGATCCTAAGGAGAAGAGCAGAGCCATCAAACCAGAGCAAGGGGCTGCAGCCCTTCCACGGCAGACATGCCAGGGGCTGGAAGGGTACTTCCAGCACCACCCCTCTGACAGAGCAAAGCCAGGGGTCCAAAATCACCCCAATGCTGGCAAAAGGGGCCTGGATGACAGCCCTGAGTCCCTGAATGTTCCTACAGGAGAGGGAGAGCAAAGCCTGAAGCACTAAAAGTGTCCCTCATACTGACCTCTGGCAAAGCCGCCTCTGGTGCAGTGGTCACATTGGGAGCGAGGGGCTTCCCTACTGCACACAGGGCCCCAAACTTCCATCTGATGGGCGCATCTGCTAGTCACTGGTAGGCAGGAATGGGTGACAGCCTCAATACCCCACTCTCAGTGCCCTGCCCCAGACCAGCCAAATGAAGCAGCATGGGAATAAGCTGGACTTTCACACTTAAACTTGGTGCTCTGCTTCTCAGGGCCCCCTCCAGTAAAACACACTGACACAATGGACTGACAGAGCCAGATACCTGTGGCCTTTTGGTGAAATGGTCAGAACCAGTCAGAGACCCTCCAAATGAGAGTGGCAGGGACAAGAGGCCTGGCAAAATCAACTGTAGCAGCCGCCAACTCTGACTGCACAGGGGCAGCCATGACCCAGCCAGACCCCTCAGCGTGCTGGGAAGGGGTAAAGAAGCCTGGTTATCCCTGCTACGAGCTAAGAGAGCACCAGCCAAATGAGCAGAGCGACGTGGATGGCCCAAGCATCAAGCGGTACCTGGTGATTTTAGAATCCCTGTAGGGAATGTGGCTGCATTTCCTGCGAGGGTCCCCCAAGGCGCTGATCACGTTGCCCAGGGCCAGCAGGCCACTGTTGATCTGGATACTCTCCTTCAGGCGCTCCCCTGTGTTTCCGGTCTTCACCACCCGCTCGGAGCCTGCAAGGTCCACAAAGTGGAATTTGGAAGTCAGGACTTGGCCGGAGGCTGGGACCGAGGCCCGGTCATGGAGGACGAGGCGAGTGAGGCGGCCAGCACCACGCCGCTGCTCCATGGTCATGGTGAAGATAGTGTGCGAGCGGCTCGACTGTGTGTTGATGTGGGTGGCTCCCGTGTGCTTGACGGTGTTGCCCATTTCTAGCAGACTCAGGACCTCATCCAGCCCCTCCACTTCTGTTTCCTTCACCCCATACAACACTGCAACGAGACAGACAAGGCAGTGATCACACTGGCGTGGATACTTACACCCTGCCAGGGAAAGCCACACACAGAGACAGCCAGCATGTCCAGCAGGGGTGAAAGGGCAATTTGAGTATCAGAGGGGTAGCCGTGTTAGTCTGACTCTGCAAAAGTGGCGAGGAGTCCTGTGGCACCTTATAGACTAACTGAAGTGTTGGAGCATACGCTTTCATGGGCAAAGACCCACTTCGTCAGATGCAATTTGAGAGTCACAAAGAGTAACCCTCCCAGAAGGGAAATCCGTTTCCTAGCCAAAAGGTTTTCCTCCAGCTAGCAGGGGACAGGGGTTTGTTATTGGAGGGTTGCTTGAGAGGGCCAGACTGTGAGCACCCAGGTAATTCGCCACGGGCCATGCCCCCACACTCAGCCACGGGCGTCTACATTAAACAACCAGCGCTAGTTCATTTGTTTGGGAGCCAAACCCTTCCACCCCTGCCTTATCATATGAATAAGAGCATGGGCTTAGCTCACATGTGGCAAAGCAGACAAATGAGGTTACGCATAGCTACTCTTGGGAACAGCCCCAGGACTCTTGCTCTCAATCACATACACTTTCTTTGGGGGCCTCTGAGCCAACAGGGGCCATAAAACTCATGTGTGGCTGAAAATGGAGACCTGCACCCTGAGGACCCTTTCCATGCTAACTGCTGCTATCACCATCAGGTGGTGGCACTGGAGCTCCGGAATTTCAGAGGAAATGGTCCCGAGACATTAGGTTGCAGAGCAGCACTGAACTAAGGTCTGTGTCTCATCCAATATTGTCCTACCAATGCCAAATGCCCTTCTAATGTCCCTCTAACCCAGGGCTTCCCAACCTATGGGTCGCCATTACATTTCCAAAGGGTTACCAAGTGTCTCCCCAGGTGGCTCTTCCCTCCCCCGTTTTTGAATTGCCTTGGGTCACCAACTCTTCCTGAATTGTCAAAATGGGTCCCCATCTGGAAAAGGCTAGGAACCACTGCTCTAACCTAAGAGAATACATAATCCAGAGCTGCCTCTAGAAGGCAGGGAAGCCCCCCCGAGGTCAGCATGGGTTTGTTTGGCCACAATTACAGAAGGATTCAAAAGTGAAGCCACTGTACTGCTCCAGAGCCCAGTGCAGATGGGGCTGTAAGAAAACTCTGCTTGCACTGCCCAGCACAGCTGGTGAGCCAGATGCGCAGACAGCAAGAGCTCAGGCACCAGGAGATTGCCTTTTGCCCCCACATTAAATGGTCCCCTGTGAAATGAATTTCCAGCCCCAGGGGTACCTGCACAACTGATCTACTGAAGATGTTGGAAGCCCAGCTCAGTTCCGGCTCACGCCAGGTCTGGGAGCTCAGACCACGCCCTCCTTCTTAGCCAGGGGCCCCAGCACTGGGCAACAGGCAGCCAGTCCATAAGGGGAGCTGTTTTTTAAACCGGCTCCTCTCACGGACCAGCTCCCACCCGGCAGGGGTCTTCTCGGGACTGAGGCCAGAACGCACTGGCTGCCCGCCCCCGCCCCCAGGGACTATAGAAGTCAAGTAACCGATAAGAATTCATGAGGTTACTCGACTATTCAATTAACCGATAGTTACCATCCCTATCTAAGAACAGTCACATGTACCAATATTGCCCTTGTCATCCTCACGGATCTGGATGTCCTTGCTGGCTGTCTCCACTTGCAGGAGGTCCTGGAACTCCTCCTTGTACACCTCCAGGTAGGAGACTCTGACTGTGTAGTCAATCAGGTCATTCTCGTCAATGAGTTTGAAGGTCTCAGCCATGGCACGTGGAATGATCCCCTGCTCATCCTCATTAATAGAAGCTGACAGAGAGAAAGACACACATACAATCACCAGAAGCAGTGGATGTCCAGAAAGCCTATTCCAGCGTGGGGTGCACTTCTCATGTCATAGGAACAGTAAACCACAGGGACCAGACTCACACTATCACATGTGCTCAGCACTGGGGGGGGGCACATTAAAGGGCCCAAGAAGCACAAGTCATAGGAGGTTGTA